ACTGCTTTTCTGGAGCTCACCACATGGGAAGCAGTACTTGACAGCGACATGGACTGGCCGGTGGGACTGCGCAGTCCCACGTCCATTTAATTATAGCTGGCTACCCATAGTTTCTAGTCATAAAAAAATCAGACTTCTAAATGAACACCTTTATGTAATTTTTAAATTCCATCCAAGCAAGAGTAGCTTAAGCCATAGATCTTTTTTTTTTAACAGACTCTCAGGAGCAGCCTTTTAGTCACATTCTTTCTAGAGCTGACATAAATCTCCCAGGCCTTCCAAGAGCCAAACGCTCAGGGAAAAACATCTCGTACAAGGTCTGTTCCAGAACCTTCCGTTTTAGACAGAAAGCGAAGACACGGAGAACACTGCATGTGCCCAAGAGCCCGTGCAGTGGCCTTCTTCTGCAGTCATGACTCGTGTTTACCCTGGGGATGCGGCATCCTGCCTGACACGACCAAAGGCATTGCATAAATAGCGACAAGTGAGGCCAACCTCCTCCCTGTCACTGCGACGTGCATCTCCGAAGAGCAGCTCTTGGCAGTGACGATGCCCCAGTCTCAGCCATAGGCACTCTCCCCTCCATGCACATCTGTTGACTGCAGTGAAGCAGAGAGAGCTGTGGGCTCTGGGTTGGAGAAATGGCACCGGAGAAGGCCAGCATGCTCGCAGCGAGCCGCTGCTCAGACCCACAGCGGGAGCTGCACCTGCAGCTGACGCTGAAGATGGTTCTCACACACACTTGAGAAGCGGCTCTCGGGTTTCAGCTACAAGGGCCTCATCCAGAAACTCAGAGTGTCGCATCCACATTGCACTTACTAGAGAACAAACTGTCATTTTCTGGTTCGTTTGTCAATACCTTTTATCCGTCATTGCGAAACAAAACGCCCTAGAGAGGTTGGGATAAAGTGGACTCGGGCAGTCTCTTCATAGTGAATTTTTAAAATGACCTTTGATTCAGTTCAATCAACTCTGATTCAGTAATATGCAAAGAAGCATCTTCATATAATTTTGTATCTCATAACAACTCACGAGTGTCAGTAGGCATAGCATCTTCAAACATGCCATGGTTGATCGAACAATGAATCAATTCAAGTTATAGCTCAAAAGGGCAAACTAAGGCTTTGGGCAAAAATCTCCTGCCCCAAGTCACCAGTCACATGAGCAATACATTTTCATAAAGACAGGCAGCTATGGTTACAGGTATAAAGGATCTTCAGGTTCATAAAAAACTAACAGGCCAAAGCTTCCTCCCCATTGGCTAGCTTCTGACTCTGTAATTTATGATGGATGAAGGGATAACGTGTGACTTTTTACTGTAAGAACCAAATTTAAATTTACAACATTTCCTGTAGTTAATCCATATGATTTGAGGATAGAGAGAGCCAGGGCACATTTAACCAAAAGTTATAGTTACAATGGTTCTGGAAAAGTTCAACTCCTGAATTCCTACATACAACTGGTATAACTGGACTCCCTTTACAATTAAATTGATACCTTTCAATGGAAAGCCATTTTTAATAAAATATTGCTTAAAGCTGGATTTATGAACCCACTTAATCTGGCAGTTTTAAAATCAAAGGGTACGTAAATAAAGGTTATACTATATACTAATTTTCTTTCTTTTTTCGTATCTCCCCTCCTTCTAAATTTGAACATCCTCTGCAAACATTGAACACCTAAGCTCTGTAACTGTTATCAAGCCATGGACAGGGGTTTACAACAAAATTTTGATTTACAAAGCTTGTATGTTTCAGTATTTATCAAATTTACAAGTCATGGTATTTTTTAGCATTCCCCGAAGCTCCACAAACTGTCTCAGCAGCAGCAGACCGGGAAATCAATGAGCTCTTGGTTGTATCTGTTAGTACTTTCATACTTCCTTTAGTTTCCAGAATGTTCTATAAAAAGCCAGTTGAGTGGGATTGCCTCACTGCACTGTGCAAAAATCAGTATGCACTTAACTAAGTACTTTTGTTTTTGAATTCAGGACTGTACACACACGTGACCACAGGAATGCACACATCTGCATTGTTTCGTGGCATTTAGGCACAGCGTATGACATAATGCTGACATAGCACGGATGATCTTTACAGTAAATCATCTAAAAATCGCACAAGGAAACTGTATTCTAGAGGCTGGTTAAGTGATTTACCAGATCGCTATGATCCATTTATTTTAACTGAAGTCCAAAGAACTTAAGCTGAAGTTTACATAAACAGTCCCTTGTTTTCTGAATCGTCAAGCATAACTTTGACCTTGTAAGGAAACATTCCTTTCTTGCACATTAACCCAGGAAGTTGCACAAGTTCCCTCCAAAAGCAGATAACAGCATCACCAGAGGTATCAGGAGAGAGATCTTGACAAGATACGTCTCAAGGAGAGGACAGAATGACAAGGGTTGTGCAAGTCCCCAGGCTGCAACTGCAGTTCGCCTCTGCTCCACAGAAACGACCAAAGGAAAAATAAGAACCCTTACAAATAGTTAGTAAAGCCTGAAAAATCTAAAGATAACCAAACCACAGAGGGTTTTCTTCAATGATTTACTCTCAGGAAATGCATACATAAAACTGTCACCAACAGGCCATTATTCCCACTGGCATGGCAGGATAGTACTGAAACAAATGAAAAGAAAAAAAAAAGATACTTCTCAGTAATTATTTAACATACATCAGATCTTTATAGAGTTTTGTTAGGATGGTGAATTGGCACTGGTGGAATGAGAGACAGGCAGGAATCTGAGTGGAAGATGCTGAAAGCTCATTTGCACGGATGGAGCTGGGATGGGGAGGGGCAGAGAACAGGGACAGAGCTGGAGTCTGGCGAGGGGATCCTGGAGCCTGCAGATGTGAGGTGGGGGCAGTGTTTGCTTTCATCCTGGCTCTCCTCTGAGTTCTCAAGGCCACCTGTTTGACCCATAAACTTAGGAAGCCAAGAGAAGTCAAGTGTCGGCCATGTTTTAAGATACGGAGGCCCTACTACAAGTGGAGACTGATCCATTTGAATGAAATATGACAGAACCAGTCTACTGCTGGCTAGATATTCTTCAAAAACTTTCAAACAGGTTCACAAAGGGACATATACCAAGAGCTTTCGTTTCGAAGCACTGTTCAGTCAGGAGTTGGAGCACTCACTGCGTCTACTGGAAGAACAGGCAGGTCAACCGCAATGGAATTCACCGGATGACATTCTGCACATCATCAACAAGATGACACTAAAGATGGAAACCAGCACAACCAGGCTTCTTTCCCAAAAACACATAGTGCTGAATACAAAAACTCTAGAGGAAGCAAAAAAAAATCTCCCATAGATTTGTTTATACGAATTAAAAACACACAGAAAATGTGTTTGACAAGAACATGAAAAATGCACATAGACCACTGTGAGAGTAATCACTGAAGGGACAGAGGAAATGAGAGGGTTGAGTGAAGTAGATAAATAGACAAAAGAGAAAGAACTGCTCCATGGACTGTTGAACATTCTAGAAGAGCAGAAATCCTGGGCTGTGCTCAGGAGACGTGTGATGACTGTGTGAGTTATATGACTTGATTTGACATGTCTGCTTTTCTCTCTGAGCTCTGACCAGTAGGTTTGACCATGAAATCACAATTTCTGTAGGTCTAAAACAATCAAATCATTTCATATAATTTATTCGATTAGAGGGGAAAATGGCAATAATTTAATAGCCATTAAGGAAACATAAATAAATAACCTCTAAAGACCCGTGGGAGACAAGCTAAAGGAAGTCAAATTAGATTCCAGTTCCTCATGGTGAAGTGAAAACCACAACTGTTGATATGACTGATGTGGCCTGATTGTTTTTAAGATCAAAGAAGCCGCCTGAAGAACTGAAGTCACCATGCAATGGCTCAGTGGCTGAATGCACCAGGATCCCATACAGGTGCCAGTTTGTGTCCCTGCTACCCCACTTCCCATCCAGCTCCCTGTCTGTGGCCTGGGAAAATAGCGAAGGACGGCCCAAAGCCTTGGGACCCTGCATCCACGTGGGAGACAAGGAAGACGTTCCTGGTTCCTGGCTTTGGATCGGCACAGCTCCGGTCATTGCAGTCAGTAGGGGAGTAAACCAGCAGACAGAAGCTCTTTCTCTCTGTCTCTCCTTCTCTTGAAAATCTTCCTTCCAATAAAAATAAATAAATCTTGGTAAAATGTAAGCTCTCTGCTATACCGGGATATATAACACCTATGACCTCTTACCGTGCCAACATGCAAATTTTTATTGATACTATTTAGATTGGCCATTTAAAAAATTCTCACCCTGAGAGAATTTTTTAGCAATTCACAAGGCAATTTAGGTAAGATAAATTCTGAAAAACAAATCAAGTTCTTCCACTTTCCAATCCCTTAAAAACTGAAAGAGACACTTGTACAGTCTTTCAGCTTCCTCCTATCTGTAATCTGAACAATCACCTCTGCAAAATTGAAATTATTTGCAATTTATCAAAGATGGTGTCATTAGACTTTATCTGCAACTGACTTAACATGAGTCACCCTATATAACTAAGGTTGAGGTTATTATTATCCTTTGTAACACATCTTCATTACCCGTTATAACATGGCTTGCTGTAGAGCACTATTGATCACTCATAAAGCGTTCCTTACTAACCAGTGAAATAAAAGAGGTGTTCTGCTTTGCAAAAATGGAGCAGAATGATATTTTCATTGCTTGCATTGGCTTTGTTTTTCCTGAATCAGTGGAAAGTCAAGGTGAACAGTGCACTGCTGAAAACCTGCTCTACCGTAGGTCAAAGAATTGAACTAAAATGATAAGCTGAGGAATAAAAAGACGTAGCCTTATGATCCCCGGTGAATTAAGCTGTTTCTAGTGCGTCTTTGAACTTGTGCCTGTTCTATGAGACTCTTCTTGCAGTAATAAAGAGATGCAATCTTGGTTCAAAGGGATTTGATAACCACAAAGGTCGGAGAACGGCAGCCCAATTCCCGTTACTTATCTGCAACCCACGTGTCCGGGGAGCTTTTACCTTGACAGTGAAGCGCTTTTTCTTTGGCGGATTCCAAACTGTACCCGTTGAATGAATGAATGCGCGCAAAGGGGTTAAGGATGTCACTAACACGTATGCTTTCAGAATCACGGAGAGATCTTCAGCTCTGAAGATTGTTTCGTGTGAAGCAAGGGCTGTTGTTTGATTCCTAAAACCATAAAACATTGTAGTTAATGCTGCACAAAGCACTGGATTCTCAAATTACCCCAAGCTGTGGAGACCCCACACATCCTCCTGCAGACACCACCTTCAATAAGTGAAGCTGCTTATTAGAATCACCACCAGGGGGAGCTGAGCTATGGGAGAAGAGATCAAAGTAAAAGTTCTCCCTGGGAGATTTAATCAACTTTTTTGCTTGTTTTTTTAAGAAAGCAAAAGCTATGAAAATACTATTTAAACATCTTTTAGTAAATAAAGTTGGTTACATTATCCATGGCCTCATATTCATGACACTGTCCCACGAATAATGATGTAGATTTCATTCTAGGAGCAGCGAAAGAACTTTCTGACAATATCATTTTTTTGCCCTGAGCTGCCTTTGTCTTTTTTCTTTTGCATGGACAGATGCGTATTCGTTCGGTAGCAGACAGGTTACACAATATCCAAATGCTTTCTCTACTAGTTCAATGCTACCTAATGCCCCTTATGCCAGGTAACCAGGAATCAGCACAAGGAATAAAATAAAATAAAACAGCTCATGCCACAAGGAAAAAAAAGCTTTCTAATGAAGGAAATACATTTTCATCACAAACGATACAAAATGTATAACTGTTTGCTTTTCTATACCATGCTTCTAAATGTTACATATTTAAGTTTGATCAATGAGAAACTGGCAATATTTTAAAACTTTTGGAGTTGTGCAAGCATATAATCTTTATAATTCTTCAATAAATATGACTGATTTCTGAAATACTGCTTAATACAGCTAGATAAGGCAAACGCAGTTTTACCTTTGATAAAATAATTAAAGTATCTTAGTTTTTCACTCTGATTAATTTAGTATTAAAATTCTTTCCCTAAAGGAATGTGGAGTAACGCAATTGTACAAATGCCTTCTTAGATTCTTGGAGGCTTAAAAACAAACAAGACTTAACAGATGGGAACAAACGCATTTCTCCATACTTATAGACCAAGGCAATGCCACTTAGGTATAAAATGGAAGTTAAAACTTTGTAGTTTTCCACTGTCAAGTCTTTAAATTCAACTTCCATTAATATAATTTACCAGATAACAGTCCAGTACCCAAATGTCTGTTCTATGAGAAGGGAAGTCTGAATTAGATGAAAAGAAACTCCATGACGTTATTGTTAAGGAAGCAAAGCTGAAACTGTCATAGTGGAATTTAATCACGCAAACCACAAAGATGTGCTCTATGCCGTTCTCTCGTTGGGCTGTCTCCTCAAACACAGATTGGACATCAACAATCAATGAACTTACAGCAGCTCAGGTCTCCATTGCCACGCTTTCCATGTGTGCAGCTTCCCTGGTTTTAAAAGATGACTTGAAGTATTTGGCTGGGATTGTACTTCCGGATCCAGGCACACAGAAGGACTCACAGGCAGTCGCAATTCTGCAAAGATTCAGAAGGGTAGAAGAGAACCATCTGATTGTTGCTTTCTGAAGTTGCTTCCAAACTAGAGTACACCCTGTTCCACTCCAGGAGCCACAGGAAAGGCACAGCAGTGGATCTCCCTGCTGTGAATCCAGATGGGATCCATGCACACCCAGAGAGACCTTTGCGTTATGGCATATTCTGACCCTGACTAGGACCACAATGGTGGCCTCTGAGTCCCGACATCCTCGTTCAGCAGGGAGACGGTGTGATTTCTCTAACCATATCATCCCTTGCAGATCCCTCCCCCGCAGAGCGAGGGGCAGCCTCTCCAGGTAAGAAGGAGGATGGCTGGTGGGCGCGACCTCTGTGTGGGATGAGAATCTCTTGGAGAACATGTGCGTTGATTTCCTGACAACACAATGCAGTCTCTCACACCCCATTCCCTGGAATCCTCAGCAACACTTATCGTTTGTAATACATTCATTACTAGGTTTTTTAAAAACACATAAAAATGAAGTGCTTGCTTACTTACAATCACCCATGTAAATATACCAACACAAAAGTACTGCAAATTTTATCAGAAGTCTTTAAGTGAAAAGACAAAACATCCTCTAACTCAAGCCCAACTATCCCTTCTACTAAAGATCATGCCATATTAACTTTTCAAGATCTAGATAAGGGCATGGATAGAAGCATACACTTCTTAATATATAAAACTGGCAATATTCACATATTGATATGCATATAAATGTAGTTCTGCTATCATAATGGTCCATACCTGGTTTATTTAGCTATTAATAAACACTAGAACCATTCCATGTAGTTGAGTAGAAGTTTAATGGCTATTTTAACGATGAATTTAGATCTAACAGAATCATTCTTATATGGTATTTATTCAATTCTTTTTGCAATATTTTTTGTTATTTTAACAACATTGCAATGAATACATTTTATGTGCAGGGGCAGATTCTTATCAGAATGTGTAATTGCCAGCACAATGGGTAAAGGCTTAAACAATGTTTTGGATATCACCACATTGCTTTCGAAAGCATTGCCCCAATTTCCACTTTGTCCAACGGCAGGTGAGAGTGGTTGCCTACTCCTTGGTCACAGTGCTGGATTTTTACATTACAGAATTCATCTGGCTCTCGAATCAGGAAAAAGCATTTCAATTATTCTCCCCCTTGTGCACACTTCATCAATACTAACATAGTCTGATTTAAAACACTTCACACTCTTAAGTAAAAGTCAGCAGGAGTCAAGCTGTTCAATGTATTCCCAAATCTAATTATTTAACACAGTGAGACCTTGCTCAGAAAATGACATCATATTTGTAAGCCTTCCCATTAATGAAGTTCTAACACATTATAATAAAAGACATTGAAACTTCTTGGTTTCTGGAGATGACCGATGAAGAGCCATGGGTTGCTTTCTTTTCTTAGACGTTGATTTTTAAAAGTTGAAATTTTCATGCTAGCCTTTGAATTTTTAGAAAGAAAAAAGTATTTTTAATTAAAATTTTACTAAGCGGAATTTTCCTTTTAAATGTGTTGCTAGAAGATCCTCTCCAGAAGAATCATTTTGCAATCTCCCTTTGTACAGCAGGATAACAGCCACATTTCCTCTGATTCACCGCTTACTTTGCTGCCATGTGGAACTATGGTGAGTTGGAGCCCCAGCTTAGCTAACTTGGAAGAAGTCAGAGAGATGAATCCTTCACCAAGGAAGTATCTCAGTGGTTTCAAGGAAGTTGTCAAGAACATGCCAAAAGACTCAACATTTCAGTCACTTTCTCCTCGTAGCTCAAGGGGAGGAATTTACAAATGAAGTTGAGAAAGTCCATTGTCCTTTCTCCTGGCAGCCATTCCCTTAGCCTCCGGGTGTAACCCCTCTACAAATACCACCTCATCAGTTACATGCATAGCAAATATAAATGAATAAATGCACCAACTGCAGTGCTAGCCAGGAAATCCCTATTAGGTCCCAGCAAAAACAGATGGATGGCAGACTCCCAGGGATGAGTAAGGAGCCTGCTGACAAGAGCAAGGTGTGATGGGAAAGCCTCCCAGCGCTGACCAAACCGGAAGCTCCTACCACCCATGGCTCAGGAAGAAGTGCCCAGCAGGAGACAAAAACAAAAAGGCAAAAGCTGTGTGCGGAGCCACTATGTACGCATGATGGTTGCAGCTAGGGAAACAGCCCCCGCTCACGCCTCAGCCATGACAGATACATGCCAACGTTTTCCTCTCCTCAGCATGATATCTGAACAGAAGCCAAAGGACGAGGGAGTTCACCCGAACAGCATACTAGAAAAACAAGGGCTTAGGCCACAGCTCCAACCCACTAGACTCATGTCCTGGAGAGACAAACAGCTGTGTGTGTGTGCACGTAGAGAAAGAGTGAAGACAAAATTTACTTTGACCTCAAGTAAGAACATTTGTATATGCCAACAGGATGGCCTAGGAAGGTCCATACAGAACTTTTTTGTGGTAAAAGGTAACTGAATATTCGCCAACTATCAACAATTATCCAGTGTTCGATGTACTATTTCTTTTACTACACCGTGATGCCTGCAAATGGAGGAGGAAGGAAAGTGCATAAACACACATGTGAAAGAACATTCCGGTAGCTAGAACACATCCGTTTCTGTGGACGGAGGAAGCAGAGAACTCACTGGGTTATTGTGGCATTTAATTCTGTTCCTCTGTTTATTGTTTCGAGAGAGACTTTCTCTGCAAACAACCAAAAAAACTGGCTTTCAGCAGATGCATGATATGCAGACAAAACGCCCTGGACAATTTCATATCTTGATATGATACTATATAACTGGGTATCTAGACCCTGTAATACATCAATTTCTTAATACATTTTTACTTTTCATGTTATGCAAATAGTATAGAAAATGCATGCACCAAACACAATTATTACTAGTACATAACTCTAGCCTTAAGCCAGGCAACTCATGATTCACTTCTCAAGATCAAAGATTATTGTACCTGTGTGTGTTTGATACCAATATTTTACTTTCTATGATTTTAGAAATCTTTCATATGCTGTAATATATCTATATAAATCAAGCCACAAATGCAAAAAGGGGTAACTCACTTTGTTATAGGAAATGAAATGCATGTCTCAAAGTGGGGACATAAAAATGACCAGATCAATTATATACTGTATACTTCAAAGTCCATCATTGCATAACCACCTAACCAAACCAATCAATCAAATGCTTATTGAACACTAAGTAAATGTATGTCATAAATGTTCTCTTTTCCTCTCTTTTTCAGGGGACGTGTCAAAGCCATGCAACCCGACAGAAAATAATTTTCCCCATGGACTGTGCTAGGTTTTAACCGTGACAACATAAGAACCTTGAATTCTGCTCATTTTCCTTGGTAATAAAAGCCATGTCTAGACTACTGCTTCAATTTTCTTGCCCTATGATTTCACTGCAATGACCAAATAGCATGAAAGATTGTTTTATTACTTTATGGCAGCTTAATTTTCCTTTGATGTTTTTCTGCATGAAATTTTTCAGAGGAAAAGAAATAAAAAATGGAAAAATGCTTGACTACTCCAGCAAGACCAAAGATGAATACTTTGGCATAAATTAATGAGCATCATTAATAATCATTTGAAACACATCCTCTAACAAATATTACTACAAATACAAGTGTACAGAGTGCAACAAGTATAACAGAATAGCTACCCAAGCCTGCTCACTGTGAAAATAAGTTAATTACTTTATTAATATTAAACTTTTTTTTTCCTCAGAAAGAGTTTCTGGAGCAAACCATAAAATATTAGTAATAGAATTTGGATCAGGGTAATTAATAACTTGCTGGGATTTGGTAACCATGACTGCAAGTTCTTTTTAAGCATATTTAAATCAATCCTAATTTAAATGCAAAGCTCAAACTCTGGCGGTCATTGCCCCTATTTAAATGATTCCCATGCATGAACATCTCTCTCCTTTCCTGCCAGTTTCTTGGGTCAATCTAACCTTTCATTTTTGTCCTGTATTTTTGGTTGAATAAAGTATAAACAATACTGCTGTCAGTTTCATTCTCTGTTCTGTATTATTTTCAAATAAATGTGTTACATGTGAACCAAACACATGCTCAAAATATCAGGGTTTTCTTAAGATTTAATTCCCGGAATGAGGCAAAAAGGCAACCATCAGGTACTAAATGGATATCTGACAAGAGAAGAACCAGAGCCAAGCCAGAAAAAAGAGAAAAAAAAAGGAGGGGGGGATGTAATTGGGAGACTGACCAACATATTTCTTTCTGAACAATTTGTCCACAGGTTTTTCCCTCCAGCTGACCGGCGATGTGATGGCAGCCCCAGGGTCAGGTTTGGAATAGACGGGACTGGCAAGGGCATGAGTCAGAAGCCAGGCAGACCCTGACAAGAGTTTGTGAGTGTCTCAGTTTTCAACCTTAGCTAATTAAGCTGATCCCTAGCCAAGTCCGGCTGACCTATTTAACATACATCTTTGAAATGACCACAGAAATAACGATTGAATTGGTCCAAAGGGGGAAGGGTGTTCACATTTGAAGTGATTAATAATTCCTGGTTGTTACAAATGTTAATTAGGAGATTAAATTTTTGTCCTTTTCCCTCTTCTTGTCTGGATTTTAACCTGTGAAGTTAATGTGCTTCTTCAGAGAGAATCTAGGCCAGGCCATTCAATTCAAACACTGTATATTTTAAAAGGATATGCTCCAAATTTTGCTGGAGATATCTCTCCTGTTTTGCACTGTGGACATGTTTTTAGTTTCTAGATGAATATCTGTGGACATGTTAATTATTTTCCTAAAGCTGAACTGACTTTTGATATCAAAACTTCGTTTTGGTTAACAGTAACAATTGACACAGCTGTGTAGATGCGTGACACTTGAGCTTTGTGTTTTAGTCTGCGTAGACGCTTTAGATGAGGCAGATGAAGGATAAGATCTTGTTTATGTCTTGCTATTTCCTACCAAACGTGTTGGCTCCCTCAAGGAAAACAA